AAAGGGCTGGGCAATAATGAATGACGTCAGATATCAAAATAAATATAGGATGTATTCTTCTGAAGTGGTATGTTCTCTGATCAACACTGTTTGGTCTTGATATTTTCATTGTCTTTCTTGATAACATCACGTGGGATTTTTACTAATTGATGATTCCTATGTACATTACTCCGTTACCGGTTTGAATTCCAAATTCATTACCTTCGGCTGTGATTGCAGAGTCCTCCCTTACTTGAATACAGTTCCATGTGTAACTATTAGAGTACGAATTGGACAATTAATATAAAGAATTCTATAACTGTTGAATATCAAACACTATCAACACGCACTTTAGTTAGAGGTGAGCTATTAGAATTTTTCTATTATAATTAGCTGTATTTTAAACTTTAATAACAGACCTAGTCTCAAAACGGAGGATTTGTCATGATGTGATTGCATAACCTGTAAAATCTTACATGACTCGACTAGTAGTGTTCGAGTAAAGAGCTTTCAAAAGGTTTAAGTACTTCTGAGGTACACCTTTCAGTGACAGGATCTCGTGGTCTATACTTAAATGCTGCTTTTAAGTCAAGAAAGACTACCGTTGTCGGACGCCAATAAGCATGCCTGTGTTCTAGAACCTGACGAATAGTGAATAGGTAATCGATGCAGCCACGATCAGGTCTGAAGTCAGCCTGATTTTCTCGTGTTTGCAGTTCACGAGTCTTAGTTAGACGCCCGATAATTATTGAGGCTAGTATTTTAGATGCTATATCAGTCAAACTAATCACTTAATTGCATTAATAGTGAAAATCATATTTGAAATAATCTAAGGGACTGGAATTTAATTGATTCCAACGTTCTGTCCAACAAACTTATCTGAAAGTCTTGTTGGGGATGTCAGACCCCCAGAACTCATTTGATAAATGGTTTAATTTTGTAATTTTAATTTGGAATTTGGATTTCCTTGTTTTCGCGTCAAAAGCGCTCTCTTCACCTTCATGTCATATTTCCCACTTGGGAGAATCTTCAACGCCATTGGTCCGTTGTGTATTTTAGTATGCTATTTTGCGACGCTTCCCAAGGACAGTTTTAGGCTGTATATATATATATATATATATCTGTTGTTAATGCTCGTGCTTCTGGCTTTTACGGATATACTTCCCCGTTCCGAACTCCAACTTCTCTCTCTGGTTAGCGGATCTGGGACGCATCAGAACATCCAGCTTATTGGTCTTCAGTCACAAGTCTTTGTTCCGTTCACATACTAAGTGAACTCGTAATAGCTTCAAGCCTAGCAAGTTTTGCAACTGTGGTTTTGGAACGTTGATCCTTCTAAACTTGAATTATTACTTGAGCAGCAGCTAAACTAATGCAGTTGTTGACAGATATCAAGATTTCGCCTTCCACACAACATAGCACACCGGATGCAACCACAGCACCATCGGTAGACGACATCGCAAGTAGCATTGCTGCGTTTCATTAAGATCCTGATGCCAACGTTACTTTTGACATGTGGTTCCGGCGTTATGACGACTCATTTAAATTTGATTTTGCTAATCAAGATGATGCTTGGAAGGTTCGGCTGCTACTTCGAAGGTTGGGTGCAAGTGAGTTGGATAGGTACTGTAATTTGATCCTGTTTTTGAACCCACGCGATCGCTCATTCGCAGACACAGTCCAGGCATTAGACCAATATTTCGGCGACATCTCATCATTGTTTAATACTCATTATCGATGTCTGAAGTTAATTACGAATGAAGATGATGATTTTCTTACGCATGTGGGCATCTTCAACCTTGAATGCGAACGCTTCCGGTTGAAGTCTTTGTCTGAAGACCAGTTTAAAGCCCTCACCCTCATTTGCAGCCTCCAGTTTCAAAAGCTCAGTGACATCAGAACACGGCTACTTTGTCGATTGGATCAAGATCCTAGGCTCACTTTCAGTGACATGGCCAATGAATACCAACGCCTCATTAATCTGCAACATGACACAACTATGATTCAGGATGGTGGTTCTAGTCGATCTGAAGTACGAGTAGTGCAACAGATACCTAACCAGAATAAATGCGCTACTGCCACACCCAGTCAATCCCATTCCAGCTCAGTCCGACAGACCAAAGCAAAACTCCTTGTTCCTTGCTGGCACTGTGGTGCATGGTACTATGTACGAAACTGCCCAGTTAGGCAACATCGATGCAGAATGTGTAAGGTCGTCGGTCATAAAGACCAGTTTTGTCTTAAGAAGAAGCCAAACCGATCCAGAAGTACCAAAAAGACTGTTCCTAAATCCTGTACCACTTCTTGTCAAAGCTCATCCCCAGCTAAGAGGAAATTCGTTACCTTTGGTATAAGTAGATATTCGTTTAGATTGCAGATAGATACAGAATCAGATTTCACCATCCTCCCGCGTAAAATTTGGACCAAAATGGACAGCCCAAGCCTGCAGCGAACAACACAAAGCCTCGTACTGCATGTGGTAATTACTTTCGCTTGTTAGGACAATTGGAATGTAAAGTTACTTTTCGAGGTACGTCATTTGCTGGGGTAAGTTATATAACGCCAACTGATCTAAATTTACTTGGTTTAGATTGGTGCGACCAGATAAAATTAACTGATGTCCCGTTAAATACCATATGCAACCTGGTATCACAACCACATGACCCTGAAGCATATACGAGAAAGTTAGTGATGCAGTTTCCATCTATTTTCCAACCTGGACTGAGTCGGTGCTCCGCCATGAAAGAAAAGCTTCGGTTGAAACATGGGGCTAAGCCTGTTTTCCATCAGAAAAGACCCGCGCCTTACGCAACATTACCAGCAGTAGATGAAGGAGTTATTACGCCCGTTTCTTACTTTGCCTGGTCAGCACCTACAGTTGTTTTCAAGAAGGTCAACGGCATGTACTGACTTTTCAACAGGTCTCAATGCAGCTCTAAAACGGCATCATTATCCTCTACCAGTTTCCGTAGATCTGTTTACTATGCTGAATGGGGGAAAGTTTTTCGCAAAACTGGATCTATCTGATGCTCACTTGCAAGTAGAAGTAGATGAAGAATCAAGAGAGCTGCTTAGTATCAATGCTCACCTTGGGTTGTTTCAGTATAACCGTCTACGTTTATGAGTCAAGACTGCCCCATCTATCTTCCAGCAACTAATGGATACCGTCCTATCAGGTATCCGGGGGTCGCGGTTTATCTCGATGACATTTTATTCGTTGCGACAAAATTAGAACAACTACGAGAACGCACAACTTTGGTACTGCAACGCATCAGTGACAAGACGTTCCGCTTACGCTCAGAGAAATGCCAGTCAGTCAAGTATCCAGGGTTCATTTTTAATCATCAGTTTCAAGACGCGTCAGAAAAAGCTGTTATGAATGTATCGCGCACACTAACCCCGGCAGAAAAGAAGCACAGTCAGATAGAAAAAGAGGCTCTTGCACCTGTGTTTGCTGTTTGACGTTTCCAAAAGTTTCCAACAACTGCATCAGCGGTGGGATTCACTATGCATTGTAAATGACTGCTTGATGTTTGGAGAAAGAGTAATTGTGCCGGAGCCTCTTCATTCAAACGTGCTTAAAGAGTCCCACCTTAGCCATCCGGGGGTTAGACGAATGAAACTTATAGCCAAGAGTTATGTATACTGGCCCCTGGTGGATCAACATATCACTGAGTTGATTGACAAATGCACTCGTCGTCATAAAGCGGCAAAGGTGAACGCCAAAATCCAGCCAGTTTCATGGCCACATGTGGACTTCGCGGGCCAGAAATCAGTCTTGTAATGGTGCCCATGACAACTAAAACAATAAAGCTACTCACTGAAATTTTCTCCAGAAATGGCATGCCAGATGTGATTGTATCTGACAACGGGTCGCAATTTACCTCCAGCCAATTCCAAGCTTCCAGTCAACGGCTGACCATCAAGCACTTATTGTCGCCACCATACCACCCGCAGTCAAATGGGAGGGCGGAAAGGTTTGTGGGTGCGTTTTAAAGAGCATTGGTTAAGTCAAAAGGGGAAGGGACACCAGCCGACGCGTTACGAAACGTCTTGTTCGCTTATCGAACAACACCAAATGAGACGGTCCGCAGCAGAAGTCCTGATGGGAAGAAGACTGAAAATGATTCACAGCCTAATGCATCCGAGTAATGTATCAACATCAGTACAGCGGTGAGTAGCAAAGTTCAGCTGCTCTTCAACTATCACTACTGACCATTGATATCAGTATGTCTTACTGCATTACTAGAAACCACACGATTCCGAACGCCCGCCTTCCACCCACAAACTAACAAGCGGATATAACCATTTCATTTTTACTTGGAAGTTCCATCCACAGCTGCAAACGTTTCACTGTTCAACCAGCCTTGCGAAGTGATGCACTCGCTTCTGTATATCGCAAACCATCACGAAAACCCCTCGAAACTGCTTACTCAAGACCCTTCAAAGTTTTGCATTGCTAAGCTAAGTAATATATCATCTATGAAAGTGGAACTCACGATAACGTCAGAGCTGACCGTCGTAAACCCGCGTATTCTGAATGAAACCCTATTAACGTTGATTTTCTTCTCGTATACTCAGAGGACTCAAGCTTCACAATTGCGATGCCTCTGGCTATAATCAATAATGACGAAGCCACTTTGCTAGTACAAGGAGGATAATAATTCCAGAAAACCTGAACGACTAATATACATAGGACAACACATAAATTTCTGCTTCATCGTATTTTTTTTGTATTGCTGCATTTTCGTGTTTCTGTGTGAATTTCATTTCTTGAAAACTTCAAAAAATCATTGTGAAATTTTTTGTTGGTATAGCATTTAGTGTACATGCATGTACTCCAGGTATTTTTCTTTTCTCGCACATTTTACGTCTTTACGCATATATGAGTGTATTTAAAAACGCAATTACTTTTCTTTTTCAATCCTTTCTCGGATAGATTGAAAAAGATAAAAAACCGACGAAGAATACTATGAATTGCCTTTTTGTTGTATTCGTACGAACTAATTATTCCTTTGTTATTGAGGGCGCGCTAATTTCAAGTTGTAAGTGCAATGCGTTTGAGGTTATCTAGTTTTATCTGCTTCAAATCGCACTATTTCTGAAGAACTTGGTTATCACAATAATTTAAATACTTCTATTATAAACTTTCACTGTTACGTTGTACCACATAAGACCTTATATTGATAAAAGAAAAGCAGATGCAGCTAAACATTGCAAGCTATAGCTATATCAGGACGTTTAACGATGGCAAGCTCGTTGGATTTAAACACCTGACTAACCATATTTTGGGGCCATCATTGCTTCACTGGAAATGAGAGCGAGCTGAAGCTGTTGGAGCTACATTGAAGTGGCCTAATCTCCCAAGTTTGGGGAAATCCCAAAAATTCTTTACAGCGGCTTCCCCGAAATTGGGAGTGGTCGGGCTTACCTATTCTTATGAACTAATCGTGCTATACCAGCTGGAACAATCGTTCCTCGAGGTCCTACCATGCCAGACAAGTCGGTTGAAGAACGGTAAGACTAGAAGCGGCAAACCCAAGGTCCGAAGGTGAGGTCGTACTTCTGACTGTACAGAGGTTGACGGCAATTAGGTTTTCCTTCAGACAACCAGCATAGTATCGGTGCTGCCTTTCCACAAGGCGAGGTGAGGTTAGGAAATGTCGACCCTTAAAAATACACACTCCGCCTTATCCCGCAAATTTTCGTCTCCGTAGGTAAGGTCCTAACAACTATAGAGCTAACACGAAGATTACTCAAAAATGTCGTGTGTGACCTAACTTCAAGTAGTCTTTTTGTCACTGCGGCCACGCTATCAGGTCACTAAAATCACCCCTAACCCAATTTACTTTTCAGGCTCCTCTAGATGGACGGAAAGATATTTAGTTAAGCATTTTGGTATTCCCGCCCATTGATCAAATAATAGTGATCGACTGCTACAACTGCGCTCAGACAATCGTTTATTTTTGGCAAGCACTAATTTTAATTATAAAGAGAGACATCTATCATAGCGACCCCCTGTACGATGAACTCAAATAGACCACATTTCCATCAGTTATCGTTGGAGAGGCTCAACGGAAAAATGCCTCTTGTTCTGGAGTACATATTTAGACTCTGGTCGCGATCTAATACTAGCAGACATTCGTTTGCACCTCATTGAACGCAAGAAAATCACATTAAGATCCCTTAAAGTTGGACTCAACGTTGCGGTCAAGTTTTAGCGGTTAGGTTGACTAATATTTCGGGTAAAATCTGGGAGTTGGACATAGTCCCACCCAACCGGTCGCAATCATTGACCGTCCCAATATATAAGAAGGGGTCGAAATCATCCTGCGGTAACCATAGAAGGATTAGCTTAACTAATATAGCGTCTAAAGTACTATCCTCATTAATTGTCGGGTACCTAACAATGACTCGTGAACTGCAAACACGAGAAAATCAGGCTGTCTTCAGAACTGGTCGTGGCTGCATTGACGATGTTTACTGTTCGCCAGATCTTTGGACACAGGCATGCTTATTGGCGTCCGACAATCGTAGTCTTGACTTAAAAGCAGCATTTGATTATGTAGAGCAAAAGGTTCTACGGCAGTACCTGTCACTGAAAGACACATCATAGAAGTACGTAAACCTTGTGAAAGCTCTTTACGCAAACACTACCAGTCGAGTCAGAGCTTATGGCAAACTTTCATTTGATTCTGAAGCCTCAAGCGGTGTCTGACAAGGCTGTCCACTATCTCCGTTTTCGTTCAACTTCATCATAGACCTACAGCTAGAAATAACGTTCTTATCGACTGAATTCTCGAGCATTGATCTCCTACCAGGACGTCCACTTATTGACTTAGAATACGCAGATAACATAGTCCTATTTGGTGAAGACACTGATAAAATGCAGTCTTTTGGTAGCACTGAGCAACAATGCCAGGTTATTTGGAATGCATTCCTACGGCGTTATGGGTATGCAACTACTACATAGCTTAGACCATATGCTTCTCTACATATAGGTAGCTTCCTAAATATATCTTCGAACCCCTCCATCTCTGACTTCTAATTTGACTGGGTTGGTATCCTTCGGTTATAAAGATGTTACTGGAGACTTTTGGTGACATGGCTCAGAATCGATCACAATGGCGTCGGTGTATACACTCTATATCTTCCTTTAAACTAAGAGATTAAAATCGCTTCATGTCTTTCTTTCTAGGAACTAATTCTTTCTTCCTGTACTATCTCCTTATATGCAATCTTTCTTCTATATATTACCACCACTGAATTAACTACTTCTATGAATCCGGTGTTCATCTTGTTGTGCTAATGCGGTATGGCAACTTGGACCGATGCATATACGTGCCTGGTCCTACGTTGCAGCTGACTGACTGACTGGTAAAGGCTTCGTCAAACTCAAAATACATGTCATTAATATTCTGCGTAAACTAATGAAGAGCTTGTAAATCACCTCAAGAGGACTTTCGTATTTTAATACAGCGAGTTTACATTTTTCCAAAATCGTGTTGCACATCATGTTTTCACTATCATATCCCACAATCGTCTGAGTGCGTTTGACTTCGTCCATCCATTCTCGTAAATTATTGATAAGCAAATCACCATAGACTGATACAAACTCAAAATCATCAAGTAGATATATTGTACCTTATCCTTGCACACAGTCTTCAACTATGTCAACTTTCTGATCTCTTAAGGTTACCAGGGAGTAGAAATGGTCTCAATGGTTCTTGCCGCACCTGGTCTTCATTAAGTCCACATATGGTGCTGATCTATTGATTGCTTTTATCAGTTCAGTTTTGTATCTCCAATTTCGATCTTCATGTCCTTCTCTTGCAGATAATTAAAAGTCCATTAGTCCTGGCATAACCGTCCGTAAATATCTGAAATACTTATACCGTATTTGGACTGTTTAATTGTATTTTGAAGAACATGGTCGAGAATGGTACGTGAGAGTATTCTTACTCTGGTATTATGTTGATTAAATAATTTGCCCTTGCAAAGTATTTAAGATATTTATTTCACCAATTCATTATCTGGATTCTAGCCCGAGGATTGTTTCCGATGAATATTTTGTCGTAGTCATTGACGAGGTTATTTATACAAACCCTCCCCCCACATAACTTTTTGTACTTTGAGGCAGCAAGCAATCTTATCATGACGTCTAAGGTTCGTGTATGTGCTTTCGTATTCACAAGAGAACAAACTTCAAAATGTTGCTTGTAAAGTTATACACATCCTTTAACCCTTACGATTTGTTATATATGCTGGTCTTTATGTTTATAAATTAAAACTGCATACTCTTTGTGAGGATTCACGGGTTCAATGATCGACTACTAAGACACTTCCATTCACAGCTTTCGTTGTGAGTGGGCAACTATACTAATCATTATCAATATCCAAGATAATTTCTATTAAGTTTAAACATTGGTCCTAACATATTGCCTCAAACGTAAGTTATACCTCTTATTTTAGCAACGTTAAGCGGTACTTATCGAAGCCATGGCTCGTCTAGATCCTCGGGACTTCTTATTCCTGATTCAGTCATCGGATTGGTCGATTCCTAAATTATTAGTTATTATTGACATTGAGTGTTTTGTCCCAGTACCCCATATCTAAAAGGCATATATTTTCAATCCACTGGTTGTCTGTTATTTTAACTTATACGGTTCAAAATCCGCAAAGGAAAAGATACGTTTTACCTTTGCCGCTTTGCAATCTCATATTTCGAAAAGTAAGACGACGATCGCTGTCGCCTTTAGATGCGTTTTATATAATGGTTGTTGGGTTTGACAGTGCTTCATTCCCCCTTATTGATATGTGTTTACCATCGGACTGTATTGTAAGTTACTTAACATGAGCTTGTCCTTAGCTAATCCTAGATATATACCTCCGAAATTTACTAGGGATATCGGCAAAACTAGATTCTGTGAACTTTTCGAACTCACTAAAACTCCTAAAATCAATGTCAGTATTTTCGTCTCGCCTATCCCCCCTCAACTTTCTAATTTCAAGCGTTAAAAGGCTTTCAGTTTTGATAAATCCAAACCTTTATTTTTGGAATAGCTTAGCGTGACTATTGAGATTTCACTTTCTTACCTAGATGTAATTCAGTAAATATGCCGGGTGCAACCTTCAGGCGCTCGAATTTCCTCTCCACGACGTATCAGTTTGGGAATGTTTTACACTACATTAATGGTAAATAAATTGCTTTTTAACCTTTGTGGTCACTTTTACTCATTGTTTTCTACATATTTGTTTTGATTGTCACCAGAATTAAAAAGCCTCAGTTTAAATGGGAACCAAAAACGTAGCAATTATATATCATGGGATGAATATTTCATGTCTATAGCACTATTATCTGCTATGCGCAGTAAAGACCCTTCTACTCAAGTAAGTGTTTTTCTAGATACTATGTAATTCTGTTACTTTGCATGTAAAGATTCTCATATTGCGAATAGATATGTAAAGTTTCAATTTTCAAGGATACTAATAGAAATCGAATAATTTTTGCCTATGGTCAATCACAAACGACATTTTCATCAACCCAAGTTGCTGTATTCCACCCTAGCAAAGTTTTAAAAAACCAATCAGATGAAAAGCAGAATATTCGAAGTACAATCAGTTGTGACGGACAACCAAGTGTAGTTCCGAAAGAACAAATGAAATCGGATACTGAAATGCATAAATAAGACTGTTCAGGATCTCTTGAAAGATACGGAATAGATGTGTCAGTTCTTTCTGGACGGCTGTCAAGTGATATATCAATCTCTAACTACGGACCACAGTTATTGTGTGGTAGCTTGGTATGGGTAATATGTATTCCAATCTACTTAGTTGACGACGGTTTACAACCTCTCCAGTTGATTAGTCATCTCAAATTAGTACCCTCAGCATAATTTCACTAAGTAGTCTTACCGTGTGTGAATAATAAGTCAGAGGTGTCTATAATCGAATAATAATGACAGTCTATATCTACTGAAGTAAAGAATAAAAGACCATTTATTAAAAACATAACCTTCGCCTAATGTGCTAATATAGCGTTTGTTTAAACGTTGCCGTAAATCCACCTCGACTTTGTTGCTGTTTTCTCACAATTGAATGATCTACTTGGAAATATTCCAAATGCCCTTGGGTATGAGTTTCACGCGTTGTTATAATAAGCCGACTGATAACTCAATGGGTATTTATACCACTTACTTACTAGACAGACAGGTAAATCCCGAGTCTCCCAAAATCTTGTTTGTTATCCACATTTTACTAGCGCAAATTCCCGGAGGATTAATTTTCATAAAATAATACTATCCTGGAAATATGTTTTCCACTGTGTTGCTTCAGTCTTCGATTCCCCGACCGTAGCTGCTACCTTGACGTGGTGGTCGGGCTTGCCTATCGTGATGACCCAACCGAGCTATATTGGCTGGAACACATGTTCCTGCAGGTTCTACCATGCCAGGCAGGTCGATTGGAGAACGGTAAGACTAAAAGCAGTAACTCAAGGTCTGAGGGCGAAGTCGTACTGCTGACTGTACAGAGGTGTGACAGCAGTAAGGTGTTTCCCTCGGACAACCAGCATCTGCAGCGATGCTGCCTTCTCACAAGGAAGGAAGGGGTTAGAAAAGGTTGACCCTAAAAATATCACACCTCACCTTACCCCACGGATTTCCGTCTCCGGCGGTAAGGCCCTTTGAAGAACGGAGCTAACATATTAAAAACCTCCCACAAAAAGGCCGTGCGTGACCGGCCTCAAGCAGTTGTCCCTTGAGCTCTGCGGTCACGCACTCAGGTCGCTAAGACCAACACTAATCCGATTTCCTTTTCAGGTCCCTCAAGAAATACCCTTCCACGGTGTGGGCAACCGGAAGTGATATCAGCCCTCATACCCGTAACAGCACACGAGACCAAGTTGGTCACATTCAAATCCTTCCTACACCTCCTAATAACTCTCTTATTTCCACGACTAACCCTTCTTACGTCCCTGTATCACCTCGCCCCACTAGTGCAAACGATTTGAGTACGCGGAATGTTATTCCTGGTCTCCTGAAACTACGCTCCAAACTACACGTAGGAGCCTTCAACGTCCGAACACTGTGCCAAATAGGACAACAGGCTTCCTTAGCTAAGACTTTAGAATCTCGCTCCATCGATGTGTGCTGCGTCTCCGAAACGCGCACACAGGATCCGAGTAGTGTCATTCATTTGACCGCACCATGTCAAAGTAACGAACCAACTCGATTTACGCTTCGTGTATCTGGAAGCCCTGATGCTGCTTCCCGTGGCCTCTCTGGCGTAGGTATAGCATTGAGTCTTAGGGCAGAACTAGCTCTCTTAGACTGGATCCCAGTAGACAGTCGTTTGTGTGCTGTCCGACTAAACGGAACAGTAAGGACTAGAAAAGATAGGGACACTCGTCGTCTCTACCTATTCTCCCACTGACTACAGCTCAGATGATGTAAAAGATGAGTTTTACAGAAAGCTTCCTGACTTCCGGAAAGCTAGGCGCTCTGATGTAGTAATAGTGGCTGGTGACTTTAATGCTCAAGTAGGTAAACTAAGCGAAAAGGAAAGACACCTGGGTGGATCTTATGGTGTTGCGGCTCAAAGAACAGATAACGGCGACCGTCTGTTGCAGCTATGCTCAGATAACCGCCTGTTTCTTCCAAACACTAACTTTAAGCATAAGGAAAAACATCTTTTGATATGGCGACCCCCTAATTCGTATCAACATTGAACCCAAATAGATCACATCGCTATCAGCCACCAATGGAGGGGCTCGATAGAAGACTGTCGCTTATTCTAGAGCACATGCTTAGATTCAGACCATGCTCTGGTGCGAGCGCATATTTGTCTGCGTCTTACTGGACATAGGAAAGATGGTACAAGGAAACCCCTTAGGGTCCTACTTAATGATCAACTGGCCTTCAGCCACACTTCGGTTTTCCACGATCTCCAATCTACCTGAATGGCAAATTAATGTAAGTCCTCCGACTCTACGAAGTTGAAAAAGCTATCGGAAATCTGAAGCGTGGGAGAGCAGCAGGCCCTGACAGGTTTACCCCTGAGATTTTTGAGGATGGTGGTCCAGTATTAGCAGCGAGATTGACTGAGGTCTTAGGCAGAATCTGGGAACTGGACGTAATCCCATCTGACTGGTTTCAATCACTGATTGTGCCAGTTTATAAGAAAGGACAAAAGTCTTCTTGTGACAATCACAGAGGAATTAGATTGACTAATATAGTGTCTAAAATATTAGCTTCAATAATACTTCGACGTCTAACCAAAGCTCGTGAAGAGCAGACTAGAGAAAACCAGGCTGGTTTTCGACCTGGACGTGGTTGTATTGATCAAATATTCACATTACGTCAGGTCCTAGAACGTAGACACACATTCAGACGCCCCACAATGGTAGTATTTCTCGACCTTAGGGCGGCATTTGACTCGGTTGATCGTGAGGTCCTATGGCAGTGTTTGTCTCTGAAAGGAGTACCAAATAAGTACATTAACCTTATAAAGGCTCTCTACTCGAACACAACTGGTCGAGTGAGAGCTTATGGCGAACTGTCATCAGAACTGATTACCTCAAGTGGTGTTCGTCAAGGCTGTCCACTCTCTCCATTCTTGTTTAACTTTGTCGTTGACGTCCTTTTAGAGATGACACTTTCCTCATCTAAATTTCTAGGAGTTGAACTTCTTCCGGGAGATCCACTTGTTGACTTAGAATATGCCGATGACATAGTTTTATTTAGTGAAGACGCTGACAAAATGCAGAGTCTGCTGACCACTCTAAGCAATAATGCAAGCATGTTCGGCATGAGATTCTCACCCTCGAACTGCAAAATGTTGCTTCAGGATTGGGTTGCATCGACACCGGAACTAGTGGTAGGGAGTGAAGTAGTTGAGCGTGTCGACCGCTTCACTTATCTCGGAAGTCTCATCAGCCCTTGTGGTTTGGTGTGTGACGAAATCTCATCACGGATACAAAAGGCTCGACTAGCTTTTGCCAACTTGCGTCATTTGTGGCGTATGTGAGATATCCGTCTATCAACCAAATAACGTGTTTACTGCGCAGCAGTTCGTTCCGTCCTACTTTATGGCAGTGAAACATGGCCAGTAAGAGTAGAGGATATTCGTAGGTTACTAGTATTTGACCATAGGTGTCTTCGAAACATTGCTCGTATATACTGGGACCACCGAGTAAGTAATGCAGTTGTTAGGAAACGGGTACTAGGTAAGGATGGCAAATCAATTGATGAAGTAGAGATGGCTGGGACATGTGTTGCGCATGCCAGACCACCGACTGCCCCGACGTGCTATGTTTTATGGTGTAGGAGTAGGTTGGAAGAAAGCTAGGGGCGGCCAGACCAAAACATGGCACAAATCCATGAAGTCACTGATAATTGGACTGAGCCATGTTGGTAGGTGTAGACTACCTGGTTGGGGACCGCGAGACGATAGCAACCGATGGTTAGAGACCTTGAATGACATGGCTGAAAATCGTTTGCAATGGCGCAGGTGCATCCACTCTTTGTGTTCTCTCAAACTCTAATCTTCTGAATTCTTCATGTACTTTATTTTCTTTCCCAATTTATTACACTGGACTATACTCGTTTAATAACATCATCAAACCTTCATGTCCCCTATCTCTACTTATACTTTCAGTACCTCTACCACTATGGGATTTGAATCGATAAGTGAATCTCTGTGCTAATGTGGTATGGCAACTCGAACTGATGTACGTACGTACGAAGTTCCACGTTGTTACTGACTGACTGCTCCCTCTTTTAGTATGTCTACCAACCTTGTAGGTTAACATCACTAGAATCTGAACGTAAAATAAGCCTATGTTCGTGAAAATTTGGATATAGCAACGTAAAAACTGATTGTTTTTGTTATCGTCAGCTTTCGTACACAATCGACACGATTTCAAATTTATTGCACTCAAATATTTTTATGGTTACTAAGTTGCATTATTTCTTGTTTTTCTAATTTGTAATCTCCATTTTCCTTGTGTTCTTTTTCAAACTTAGGTTGGCGCTTGCATAGTTAACCAAGAAAAGAAAATTGTTGGAATAGGATATAATGGAATGCCCAACGGTATTTTAGATGATGATGTCCCTTGGGGAAAAGGATCAAAAAATGAACTTGAAAATAAGTATCTTTATGGTATGCTGTCTAGTGTCTGTTAACGTTTTTTTATTAAAGGGGCTTGTAGTTTGTCATGCAGAGTTGAACGCAGTACTGAATCGTAATGAAGCTCATTCTGGAGGTTGCACACTATTCACAACAATGTTCCCATGTAATGAATGTGCTAAAGTGATTATACAGGCTGGAATTAAGGAAGTAGTGTATTATTCGGATAAGAAGAATGGAACAGAATCTAATCAAGCAGCTAAATATTTATTTAATAAAGCTGGTGTCAGCATAAGGTATGATTCTATGTTTCTCATTCTTGCTGTGTTCCCACAGAAAATTCACTCCAACGAATCGAACTATCAATATTAATCTTAATTAATCGAGGATCTTAATACAAAAAAAACAGATAACCTACAATCGACCATATATCCACTGAATCTGCACTGGACTGTTAATTTTTGTATTATATTATAGTTTAATTTAATAAATACCGATCAATTGAGTATTTATACAAAGTTTTATTAGAATTATGTTCAATATGAGGATTTCTGGTTGCTAAGCTGGTAGGATGATGCTGACAGGTAATTGAAACAAAATATATACGGCTTCCAATGGTAATTTCGTACATCTACGATTCCACATAATAAAGGTTTCATTAACATAGTAAACCAGGTAAAACTGAATCTAGTTTTATTTACATTCACTTGTATAGTGGCGACAGATTTGGTATTTTTCGTTATTTTATCTAAAACATGAGAATCAAGTCTATTAAATAGGTAGGTCGTGTTTGTTATTGTTTGTAAGATGAGAAGAACAAGACGAAGTCGTTGATGTATAAATTTCACGATTTTATCTGGAATTCATACCGCTTTCCTGACTAAGATGCACAGCAGATATTAAAGTAAATAAACCAAAAGGCTTAGAAATTAAGTACCTTACTGCTGTTTAGGTCACCTACTAAAAACAATCCATGTTCTTGAATGACCTTGATAGTTGCGATCTTTAGATTTATGAAAATAAAGCATCTTAAATCTGGTGCTTCTTAGATCATTAGTGGACATTTCTTAATCTACCATTCAACACATTTTGCAATCCAATTGACCCATAAATTTATCTGAGTGTTTGACCTTAAGAAACCAGTAGTTAATATAATTTAACTCAGCAAACTTTGCCAGATTTGACTGTAACGCCCAGACCTAACAATAACAACCGACAGGTAGTCAGGGTAAGATTTAAGTCTATAACACATTTGCGAATCAAGCACTTAAATAATAGGCATTTTTAACATTTCGACAACGCACACAGTTCACCATAAGACTAAATGGGGAGTCTTCAAGCTCATTTTAATCTTAACTTATTAGATATTTTAAATTGCTTTTTCCGTAATATTGTGACTGCTTAGTTATGTTAGCGCGAACAAACCAAGCACTGCACTGGAAATTAGTAATAAATTATACAGCTGTTTGGTTAACCCTAACGAAAGATACTTCTGAGTTATTATCTAATGAAAGTGTTCAACAATCGAAGGCAGTTAGATTCAAGTATCATATTGATCTTAAAGTAGGAATCAATTAAATATACAAATCAGAATAAAAAAGTAAGACCAACTATGAACGTTTACAAAGCTTCATGAGATTGAGAACAATTCCGTATTAGAAATTGATGTAGATTGTTTATTCGATTAGTCACTTCTGGTATGGACAACAATTGAATAAGTTCGACCACAGGTGGCCCCACCTGAATATTCAAAGGTAATAATTTATATCATGAAGTACTGGCAATTATTAGAAATTCTATACGTTGGGATGATCCAGGGCTAACATCGTTATTGACTCACTAAACTCAACTGCGTTTCGTTCGTTGACATATTAATTTCTTATTGCTAATATCAAACATCTTGCAATGATAATAAATTGATAGTGCCAACAATCGGTGGGTCGCGTGATATTATGAAGCCTCTCTTAGGGCAAAACAATAAGTTGATATATGCTACATAATTCACAGAATAATATACCAAGTAGGTCGTAAAGTTATTTTAAACAGATTGAAACTGCTCGACCGTTTAATCATCTAATGAATTCCATCACTTCAATCACCATTTCTAGCCGTTGGCTACCACTATATTTCAATCAAATTTTAGATTACTGACTCATCGGTAAATAAGTAGGCAAAAATTGCTAATAGTGTATACATACAGTTACACGAAAGATAGTAACCATACTTTAAGGCGATGAATATTATGTTCGTACCCCAAAAACAGTGCATGTAATTTCGAATAATAAGTATTATGGGTGAAAAACTAGTGCACTCTCAATATTTCATTGCTCGCTAAGAGTAAAAAGCTGGCGTTTTTTACAGAAGAATCATTTAAGCACTTACCTCGAATCCTATAAGGCCTAATCTGATTAGGTGCAATACAGTCTTGCGCCCAACTCCTGAACGTTCGCAGACACTCTCAAGGGAAGTTGTTATCACATCGGAGTTTAAATCTGTGCTATCATTCACTTGTTCTTTCTGAAGAATATGATTCATTTCTTCGACAAAACATCCAAACAATCTGAGTACATCTTGTAAAGGTATCTTGATAAAACTTTTATTGATAACGCCTTCACAAGTAGCTAAATCTGGAGACTTCCACATAAATAAGAAACCATTATCGGGGTCGACCAAGTCATCTAAACAGTGAACACGACATTTCAAGAGTTGCAATCGTTTCAACACATGCAAATCATTTTGAGCAGATTGACTACAAATATAAATATTAAGGCAAAATTGTAGTCTGTACAATAGGAAGAAACAATACTTATTTACACGTGAAACTGCTTAAAAAAATGTATTTAAAATGTGCGAAAATTAGTAGGTGAATAGACCATACTTTACACTGCCCTTTCAAGTACCCTAAAGTCTAGTATTCGTCTGTTAAAAGCCATTGAGAATGGTACAACTAAGCGTTATCGCTAGCAGATACTGGCATAATGACTGTTAAAATCAACTGTATGACCCGATTATATCGGGTGTAATGCTATTACTGATTTGTTCTCAAGTTTTCTTACATCATCTTATTTTATTGTATTTATTTATTTGAACACATAAATATTGGTACAGGGGGGCACCAAATATATATGCGCCACACAAAACAATGATAATTTGAAGAGAAGGAGAAAAGAGAAAAAAAAAGTAATGAACGTGGGGAATAATGAAAAAAAGGGAGAGAGAGAGAACAATGGTGGGGGAAACGGAAAGGTACAATCAGAAGAGATCTTTCAGTTAAACAAGATACAACCACCTTTTATGAAGAAAGTAAAAGAAGGTTACAGCAGGATCGCCACTGGCTTCTATTCTGAGCCATATCTGATAACGTCTCTAGCCACTGTGTTACATCACCTCTCGGACCCCAGCCAGGGAGTCGTGAAGGACCAACACAAGCCAGCCCTTTGCAGCTTTCTTTCATACCACGACACCATGCCATATACTGACCACCTCTCCGCTTTTTCCAACCAGTGCCAGAGTCGGCAAATAATGCACGACGTGGAATTCTCTGGGACGACATTCGTAGAACATGTCCAAGCCACCGAAGTCGGTGTTTCAAGATGGTGACACCAATTTCATTATCGTCTCTGTGACCGAACACTCGATGCCGAACCTCTGCATTACTGACATGGTGTTGCCACTGGATGCCAGCAATCCTTCGGAGACAACGATGATCGAACACAGAGAGTCGTCTAACATCCTCAACTCGGAGAGCTCAGGTTTCACAAGCATAGAGTAGAACTGCTCTCACCGACGCGTTGTAGATCCGACCTATTACAGCCAGACTAACATCACGAAGGCGCCAAAGGTGGCCCAGATTGGCATAAGCCGCTCTGGCTTTCACTATACGTGCATTGATCTCATCACTCACACCACCACCAGCATTTATGCAGCTACCCAGATACACGAACTTCTCGACTACTTCTATCTGCTCACCATCCAGAGTGAGTACAGGATTAGAATCCTGCCAGTCTTGTAGAAGTACTTTGCACTTCGAAGGTGCAAAGCACATACCATACCTACGGACACTGATTGCCAACTGATTAAGTGCGGATTGCATAGCTTGGGCATTCTCGCACAGTAAGACAATATCATCCGCATACTCAAGGTCGAGAAGTCTTTCTCCAGGCAACAGATCCACACCACCATTACTTACATCCGTCAGAGCTGTTTCCAGAATGTCATCGATGGCAAAGTTGAAGAGGAATGGTGAGATTGGGCAACCCTGCCTAACCTCACTGCTCGAATGGAATAGTGGAGAAAGGTGGTTGTATGCCCTCACTCTGCCTGAGGTGTTTGTGTATAGGGCTTTTAGGATGTTAATAAACTTCTCAGGCACACCCTTCTTGAATAGACAATCCCAGAGAACAGTTCTGTCCAACGAATCGAAGGCAGCCCTGATATCAAGAAACACTACGATTGTTGGCCTTTGATAAGTATGGCGGTGTTCTAACACTTGGCGGAGGGTGAAGATATGATCAATACATCCTCGACCAGAACGAAACCCAGCCTGCTCCTCGCGAGTCAATCTTTCTCGGGTTCTGAACAACCTACGAAGTATGACGGAAGCCAATAGCTGGGACGCAATAGGAAGTAGACTTATCCCCCGATAGTTGTTACAGGAACGACGTGAACCCTTTTTAAAGATAGGAACAACTATCGACTCATTCCATGACGTTGGTACACTCTCTAGTTCCCAGACCTTTGCAAACAACGTCGTCAGTCCCTTAGTCAGAAAGTCACCACCATCTTTAAAAAGAGCCGGAGGTAAGTCATCTCGGCCCGGTGATTTGTAACGTTTCAAGAGTTGGAGTTCCTTGCGGACTTCCGCCTCATTTGGTGGATCAGTCGTCACCGGCCATGGAGGGCAGGACAGTCTGACCGATGTTGCCGGAGCAGCAGGCCAGTTGAACTGCCCTTCAAAGAATTCTGCCTATCGTCCAAGACGTCGATGGATGTTGGTGATTGGCGTTCCGTCATCCTCGCAGATTGTTTCGCTCACACCAGACTTCTTGCTGCCAGTAGCTCGGATGAGTTGGAAGAGCTTCCGGTAATTACCAGATGCAGCTGCTGCTTCCAACTCACTGGCACGCTCCGACCACCAGGCTTCTCGGTCCTTACGCAAGCTTTGACCGATTTCATTACGTAACATCCTTCGTCTGTGGTCAAACTCACGGTCACCCGGAGTAGACCGACGGGCTTCAATCAGTTGTAAGGAACCAGAAGAAACCCAGTGCTTGTAAGCGGGACGTTTCGCAAACCCACAACTGACTTGACCCGCCATTTTCATGGCGTCATGCAATTGCAACCAATGCTCATCTATACTTTTCGGTGGAATGGTAGCTAGCCTAGAAGCTAGCTCGGTTCGGTACTTACTAGCAACAGAAGTTGCAGCCAGCTTGCTAAAATCAATCCTTTGGTGGCGGTCACTTCGTTGTCCACTGAAAAGTAAGGTAAGATTGGCGCAGACCAGAGCATGATCAGATTCCAGATAGGTACTCCAAAAGGAGCGGCAGTCTTGTACACAACCGCGCCAGCGGTAGCTGATCGCGATGTGATCAATCTGAGTCCAGGCTTGAGATGCAGAAGGGGGACTCCAGGTGGCACATCGGCGATGACTGTGCCGAAAGTTAGTGCTAGCCAGAAACAGGTTGTGGTCTGTGCATAGTTGCAGTAGACGTTCCCCGTTATCTGTCCTGCGACCAACAAGTCCCCATCGGCCACCTAAACGACTCTCTTCTGTGCCTAGACGCCCGACCTGAGCATTCAAGTCTCCAGCTAGTACTACAATATCTGTCGAACGCACTTTCTGGAGAAGAACAGTTAACTGGTGGTAGAACTCGTCCTTGATTGCATCCGGGCTGCAATCTGTCGGGGCATAGGCGGAGATGACGAAAAGACATCGTTTCTCACGCCGATTTCTTCTCACTTTGATCGAACTTTCTAATCTAACAGCACATAACCGACTGTTAATGGGGATCCAGTCGACTAGTGCTGCCTTAGCTCTAGCGCTTAGTGCGACACCAACGCCAGCAAGACCAGACGAAGATGCCACAGGGTCCCCGGATAAACGCACATAAAACAAGCTTTTTGAAGTGACAGATGGAGAGCGAACTTGTAGTACTTCACCAGAGTCTTGAATACGGGTCTCGGATAGACAACACACATCAATATTAAGACTTTCCAAAGACATAGCTAGCCCTATCTGTTGTACGACCTGCATAAGTGTGCGAACGTTGAAGGCAGCCAGTTTGAATGGTGCACGTGGTTTCAGAAAAACTGCTTCAGTACTCATATTCGGTGGTAACATACAATTTTCAACCAGGCAGTGACTCGAGAACGTTTAGATAAAGCTGAATTTTCACCATAGGCGAGCTGCTGTCTAGGTCGAAACGGATACATAAAGTAGGTATAAAAGAGGGTGAATAAATGACGTGGTAAAATAATAATAATACCAGTCATTTCAATGTTAGTCGGAGAGAAACGAATATTTTCTATAAGCAGATAGTTCATCATGGCTTTAGTGTGTGGGCTGAGATACTGCACGGGTGCCCAAACCGAAGCAGGTGCTTTCCTTAGGGGGCCACACCCCGAGCCTTTGACCTAAAGGTCTAGTCCACAAGGCAGTGGAGCATCGTGAGGAGATGCAGTCCCATGGTAGCCGGTGACCAACGATTGGTTCATACGCCATTTGTTCCTTCAGGATACTGGAGCCCATGTGCACCATAGAATTTGGATCCGGTTAAAGCGCTTTTCGTCCTCTCATTTTCGTAAACAACAGTAATGCCACGAGAAGGCAGTGAGTAGGACTTCCCTGGCAGGGGCTATGTACGCGTGGCCATGTGAGAGCATTTCGAGAGGGAGAGCGGACTCTCCCCACTCTCGGCCGTACCAGAGCATTTGGGGGCCTTACATCATCTGAGGATCTAGGAATGTGCTTCAAATTCATTCGCTGAGATTTTACAAATACATTTTTCCTCTTTAACCATATAGTATGTTTACTACCCTACTGAGACTAGAATCCAGCAGTCGTCTCACTTTATAATTAACCGCCGTAATAGAATACAATAATAGTATGGTGTAACTGCTAAACATAAGAAAGTTATTGAAACTTAGTAAAGTTTAGTAAGAACTTAAAGTGATAACTATAAGGCTTCTGAATTTCACTAGAATGACATCATGTTAATGTAGGTCCAAGAACGCTCGATTAGGGATATAAAAAAAATACAAGAATATACTGGATAATAGGGTTTTGTCAGAACATAAATTTGGACAGTACTGCAAGTATTAAGTGAAAGCACAAAGTGACTAAAAATTCCTCCTATATTTGCCTATCGAAAATATAGCCAAAATGATAAATAGTTAATACAACGAAAATTTAATGAAATCACTTGAGCTAAAATACAATTACAACATTAAAATACTGTGCGTCTTACTTTTTACGAATAGATACGTTTTCTACATTTGATTGCAGATATTCTTTAATTGTTTCTAGTATTTGCGGAGTTTTATAAGTAGTTTGATTACTTTGCTTTTGATGCATTACACAATAATCCAATGCATTGTTTACAGCTTTATCAAAATGAAATTGGCCGCATATTTTTAGCAAATCTATTGATAAATGAGCGTTATGACGATTGATATTGCTTAAGTTGAACTATATGGAATAATTAAATGGTACATTTCAAGCTAGTTTATATAAAACCAAAAATATGTATTAAAATTTATTGCATTCGATGAAATGAAGTTTAAAGTGTTTTATTGATGAACTTCAGAATACATTTGCACTATATGGGACGTTGCCATATTGTAGTGACTTTGGTGTTTTCGCTGACAAACTTACTGGGCAGTGCTACTCGCATCAAAAATAGCAATACTTTTGTTACAATAATTTTATCAGGTGATTGCAGATGATCCGAGAAAATTTTCTGGTTTTCCTCGACTTCCTTATAAAATGCCCCCAAATGTTCTGGTACGGCCGAGAGTGGGGAGAGTCCGCTCTCCCTCTCGAAATGCTCTCACATGGCCACGCGTATATAGCCTCTGCAAGGGAAGTCCTACTCACTGCCTTCACGTGGCGGGGGTGTTGTTTACGAAAATGAGAGGACGAAAAGCGAATGTCCGGCGCTTTAACCGGATCCCAAACCAATGGTGCACATGGGCTGGCTCCAGTATCCTAAAGGAACAAATGGCGTATGAACCAATCGTTGGTCGCCGGCTACCATGGGACTGCATCTCCTCACGATGCTCCACTGCCTTGTGGACTAGACCTTTAGGTCAAAGGCTCGGGGTGTGGCCCCCTAAGGAAAGCACCTGCTTCGGTTTGGGCACCCGTGCAGTATCACAGCCCTCACACATATCAAATGAGGTCTGTGTGGCGCATATGTTTTGGTGCCTCCCTGTACCAATATCTATGTGTTTAAATAAATAAAATAAAATCCTTATAAAATATGGAAGATATGGGTACTTTTCTGGTTTTATTTGGAAATGTAACTCCCCAAGTATAAATATATGTACTCAGCTTTGAGCCACACCAATTCTATCTAATTTAGTTGGGTTTAATTTCAGAGTGTTTCATCTATCATTTTACTCGTCTTCTCTTGAAATATTTAATTAAGCGCTGTCTGTCGATGGGTTACTTGAAAAAATTATCTTCTTTAGAACACTGCCTTAATAGTTCAAGACATTCAGTAGTCTACACTGAAAAAAATCTTTCACTTTCTATAACTGTTGCACAAAAGCTTAGTAAATCTCTCTTCTAATTATGCTCACCATTTATGGTGATCGAAAAAGCTAGTGTGATCCACAAATCAAGGGTGGTTATTTTGTGGTAAATTATCGATCGTATTTACAATTTAAAAGCCAAAGTAAATGCATGTCTAAATAAGGCTTGAAAAATATCCGATTGACGATCCCCTAGCTTTCAAACAGTCTAAAAGTATCGTGCATACTTATCAAGATAGATGTTTTAGTCCCCTGACAAAACACCAAAGTGTATTCGGAGAGGTGATTTTGTGTGTGTGAACAAGTAGGACTGATATATTTAAAGTTTTGAATTCCGGTTTTTAACGTTGTTCGATGGAAACGACGGGGATAAAAAGCGGAAGATATCACAGGAGTTTAGAAAATTAAAATCAAGCATATAGAACCAGAAAAGAACCCATATGTAAAATTGTAACTTACTCGAGAAACTAATTCAGAGAATTCAAATTCAGGCCTCCACTTATTCGAAAAGTCACCCTTTTCGTTAGAATCATCATGACAGACACCACCTCCAGTGGATGTTAACCAATTCAATACCGCAGAAGGCATATAACCAGCCTTACGCAAACTGTGAACACTACCGATAAGAGAGAATTCTGGACTACGTTTAGACAGTTTACCACCTGAACTAAATTGGTATGACAGAAAAAATAAATGTTTGTTCACTGTATAATCATTAAAATTAACTCGACAAACAAGTATGTACTGATTTTTTGACCGTTTTGTGAGCTACACTTGAGAAGTTATTGTGTTTCACGACTGGTGCAATAGCTTAAAGGTGGAACTCAACTGCGCGAACCGAAGTAGATGAAACGATTCAGAACACATGATTACAGCTATGCTTAAAACTAGTAAAATCCCTAAACCATAAATTTGACGAATACATACATAGTGATTGCCTACTCAAAGTCTTAAGAAACTAAAAAATGTTTACCACTAACCTGGAAAGTAACAGAGGGAGATGTGCAAACTGTGGAGGTGACCAGTTTAAAGCTTTGTATAGCATCAAATGCTTAGGCGTGGAAGTAAACCATTCCTATATTTCAGGGTTAGAATATATGCAAAATTAAAGATATTTTGGGTAGAGATGTGAATGACATTAAACTGGCATGCCATAAATTTTAACATATGAAATGAGTGTTTACACCACCTAGATTTAACTAAGAGAGCATTATTGAATTCGCTTGAGCGTTTGATGGCTCTTCCATGATCGGACAACAAAACTGTGGAAACAGATGAATCAATACTAGAAAGATGGATAGTTGATAATAGTAAGTGATGGTAAACTCTGTCGAAGACTTCAGGCAGAGTAGAACTTGAAGAATGAGTCAGATTTTATATGAGAGGAAGACATGAGAACAAGGAAATGAGCTGATATAGCTTCAGATCACCTGGTGGTTGCCAAGGTGAAACTGAAGCTAAAGAAGCAATGGACACCTGGACAAACAGCATTACAAAGGTTTAATACAACCTTCCTTCGAGATACTGACAAACTCAACTAATTCAAGACAGCTCTCAAAAACAAGTTCAAGGATTTACAAGATCTGCTAGAAGAAGAAACTATTATGGAGAACAGTTGGGAAGGGATGAAAGAAGCACTTACTTCAATATGTCAGGAGGTGCTGGGCCTCAAGAGAAATCATCATCACAAGGAATGGATCTGTATCGAAACCTTGAACAAGACTAAGAAAGGAAGAACAAAAAGACAGCACCTAACAACAGACGAACAAAAACAGAAGACGTCAAGACGCAAACTGAATACACTGAAGTCAACAAGCAAATGAAGAGGAGCATGAGAGCTGAAAAACAGAAGTACGTCAAAGACATATTAATGATAGCGGAAAAATATGTAACAGAAGGAAATATAAGGCAACTATATGATACAACGAAGAAACTGGTAGGGAGATATGGTAAACCAGGGCTACCAGACATAGACAAATAAGGTAAGCCAATCATTGAGATTCAAGAACAAAGAAACAGATGAGTAGAACACTGAGGAAATCTTAAACAGGTTAGCTCCACTGAATCCAACGCACATCGAAGCAGCAGACACAGACATTACTATGGATCTTACTCCACCGACAATCTTAGAAATCAGGCTGGTCATCAGACAAATCAAGTATGCAAAATCAGCGGAACCTGACAATATACCAACTCAAGCACTGAAGACAGATTTAGAAGTAACTGCAAAGATGCTCCACCTTATATTCAGCAAGGTTTAAAGGGAAGAGCAAGTGCCACTGACTGACTGGAAAAAAGAATACCTCATCAAGATACCAAAGAAAGGAGATCTGAGCAAATGTGAGAACTACAGAGGCATCACACTACCATCGGTACCTGGAAGAGTTTTCACTAGTGGTTCTAAACTGGATAAAATATTCAGTAGACGCCCAACTTCAAGATCAACAGACCAGATTCCGTAAAGATCAGTCGTGCACAGACCGAATTGCCACACTATAGATGAGCAATAGTTTGGATGGAATTCGTTACTTTTCATCAACTTCCTTGACTATGAGCAGGCGTTTGACAGAATACATAGGCAAATATTATGGGAACTTCTTCGACAATATGGTGTATCTGAGAAGATCGTCAATATCACATGGAATTCATAAGACGGATTACATTGAAATATCACGTATAGAGGACAGCTGACAGACACATTCCAACTAAAGACCGGAGTCAAAGAAGTCTGCTTACTCTCACCCTTTCTCTTTATTCTAGTGGTTGACTGGATTATGAAGACCTCCACATCTGAGTGGAAGCGTGGAGTACAATGGACAACTTGGATGCAACTAGACGATTTTGAATTCACAGGTGATCTAATTCTCCTATCCCATACACAAGATTCAATGCATGTCAAAACGACCAATGTAGTAGAAGCCTCTGCATCATTAGGCCTCAGTACACACAAGGGATAAAGCTAGATCCTCAAGTACAACATGAAGAACAGCAACCCAATCACATTTGATGGAGAAGTCTTGGAAAAGTTAGAAACGTCCACGTACCGGAACGGCATCATCAATGAACAAGGAGGACCCGATGCACACGTAAATGCAAGGATTGGAAAAGCAAGGATAGCATTTGGACAATTGAAGAACATATGGAACTCGGAACAACTGTCAATCAACATCGAAGTCAGAATCTTCAATTCGAACGTCGAGACAGTTCTACCGTACGGAGATGAAACCTGGAGAACTACTGCAACCATCATCCAAGAAGGTGCAACTATTTCTAAACAATTGTCTACGCAAGATACTCAATGTCCGTCGAATACTGAAGCAGATTTCTCAACACGAATTGATGTCAACTGTATGAACGTTGAAAACTTGAGAGCACTGAAAAGATGTTTCGTCATAACGTAGAATTCCCTAACAGTTGGCGTCCACGGATCTGCTAAGGATCAACTCCAAAATATTTTGATCAAGTGAATACCATGTTACTTTCATACTACTCCCTTTATAAACCAGTAGGGAGCACTGAAATGCTAATTAGCCATATTTTGATGTCCATATGTGTATACTAATAACCACTTTTGAAAAGGATTTAGAATACCAGGTGATCACTTGTAGTGAGCCAATTCAACTATTTTATTATTTGTCTACTCGCTGTAATTTAAACATGCAAAATTGATTGAGCGCATGTCTGCACATCAATCTTTATCTTTATCAATAATTTATGCACAATCGATTAACACTCATAAACATATATGGATTTTTAATACTCACACACACACACACTCTCACTGGTTTCTCTGTGTTGCTTGCTTTCTGCAAGCTTGCGGATTTTTACTAGTCATTAACAATAAACTAGCTCTACAACTGGTGTTCAGGCTTTTTAATAATCTTGAGTAAAGTCATAATGCCACTAGGAGATTTAGTCTGAGTAAATACTCAGTAAACGGGATACTACTTATTGGAACTAGATATAGAGAAAACTAGCCTTTACACACTATTATATTATTGAATTCAATATTTAGTGAAAATAACCTTTGATTGCTGAAGCCACCCATTAATTGAAATAAAATTAGGGAAATGGAAAAACATAATAAACTTACAAATCCTCTAATAACATGACTGATTTCCATATAATGATCATCAATTACGTTAGCCAAATGGTAAACAGGCATACCATCGGATTTCACAATGATCTGTTCGAAGCAATAAAATAAATCAAAGAAAACACAGTCGGTATAAAATATCTTATTGATTATTTTTGTAAAACCATACGTCATTCTACTACATGCTTGTATGAGAAAAATATATTTCCAAGCTGATAAAGTATATACTTATTACAAAATGTTCACATTACACAATGTAAACACACGCTTTTTAGTCAAACTGAAATTAATTTGTAAACGTATTCAAGGGAACTTATTGCCAAAATGTACTAAATATGGAGTTCAATGGCCTGCCATGACATTGTTTCAATGATCAAAGGATTTATCAAATACTTGATATTTTTTGTAAGTTTCAATCTTTAAGTCCGTAGGAGACTGAAAAATTAGTGTAACAGATAAGCAATAAGAAAAAAAATTAATTCGAAATATTCAGCTAACATTAAAAAACTTTGCAAAAAAAACGATGCTTCAAAACCTTTAAAAATCGTATCCTTAATCTTAAAAGATGACCAACTAATCAAATACTTAATCAAGCCATTTTTCTTCACTTACAGTTGTAAAATAGTACAGAACATTATTGTGCAGAAAAATATGTCGCTAATACTAGTGATAGCGTAAGGTGGAAAAAATTAATATACCCTTTAGTATCTGTGACGAGACTTTGTTAACCAACAGTCTATCGAGGTTGGTGAGATTCTCACAACAAATTAAGTAGTCAACGAGTTCGCTTACTCCATTCACTGTAGTCAAATTAGACACTAGCGGAAGTCTAAAGGTATTTTAATTCACTTACTGTATAGAAAGACAATTAGTCTAGTCAGCTAGGTATTGATAGTAAGAGAAATAATGTTAATAAAATGGTACTTACAAAATCTCCTTCAGAATTGAGTGAATTGAAGGCAGAACTTCCGTAAACGATGTCATTTACTTCTATTGGTGAATTATCAGTCTAAGCGAATAATCATATAAAAGATAAAATACTTTCGATAATTAAAAAAATTCTCGGTGTAAAATAAATATAGGTATCAACAGGCAGGTGAGAAAAACACCGTAGAATTGGTTGACTGCCAATCCAATGTGATTAAAATAACTTACCAGATGAAAGAAGTGATTAACTCATTCACCTACAATTAACGCCTTATCCTTATACGATATTATTTAATATCGTGTCAACTCTTGGTAGAAGATAATGCTCATTATCAATAAGAAAATTGTTATCCTCTATTGTGCTTATACAATACTATGCATAACACAAAACCAAGATTCTTGAAAGCTGTGCATATAAATCTCATTTGCATAGAAAGAAGCGTTAAGTGTAGGCAAAGTAAGGTTAAACCTGCATATAAAAACATATTTTGACGGCGTTTTTCTTACTTTATCCGTCATTTCCTTCATATTTCATTATTACCTTCTCATCTTTTTTTAGTTTGACTTTTCTACCTTCAATTTTTGCATAACCTTATCTCCCTTAATTCATTAAATATTAACATCTTCCACTAAAATTCACTAATTTCATTCAATTATTCCATGAATAGTATTATATTAATTTCTCCAAATGATATTTGTTTAACAATTTTAAAAAAAATAGCGCTATTTTTTTTCAATTTAGAGTGATATTTTTTCTGATTTTTAGCTTCTGATACTTAAAAATTAGTTTGATAGTTCATATAATTTATTTTATGTTCTAGTATAAACTACACTTAACTATTTTCATTAATTATATTAATAATTTTTCTTTCAAAATTGTTTATCATAGCAACTATTTCAAAAAAGAATATGAAATGTTTCTAAGTTCAATAAAAATTACTAGTCTCCTTTTACCATTTTCTTAATTTTGTTTACAACGAAATTAATATTCTTAAATCTGTGAGCTGATTAAGAATGAAGAAATAAGTACTAAAAATCTTATTAATTTATTTGCTGTTTTTCATGTAGTTAAGAATCAACAAATCGATATATATATATATATATATATATATATATATATATATATATATATATATATATATATATATAGCGCATTTAAAACCCCAAAATGTACTATTAACTAGATAATGATCAAATGATGTAGATGGGTAAAAAATGAAATAATGATATTCTTATAATACCCCAATTGGTAGGAAACTGAATTTCTGGAGTTTCGTCACTTCTTCATTCCTATATCAAACTTTTTGTTATAGCTCCATCATTATCTCAACGTACCATCAGTGTTAATGCTTGAATTTAAGAAGTTTTATTCCTGGTTTCCTGAAATTACACTTTAAACCATGTGTTTGGAGCCATCAATGTCATGTTGGACTACAGGCTTTATTATCTATGACTACGGGATATCGCCCTAATGACATATGCTGCGCTCTCTATAATTCTGGATCCAATATAAGCGGAGAGTATATCGTGTCATCTGTCTATATTGACTACGTGAGGTCAAGTGAATGACTACTACCGGATCATACATGCGAATTTCGGAAGATAAGACACATCTCTACTATTTTATTTTGAACTTTTGCATGTGACGTAGGTCTACTGATTATAACTAATCAACACTTTCTTGCCCCCCTTCTCTGATGATCTTTTAATTTATGGCGCTTTCTTTCGGTATATGAGACATTATGAACATAAAATCCAGTTTTTAATTTTAATACCGACTAATTCAAATATAACTTTTACATGTCTCTTAATACGCTGTGTGATATAATACAACACTAAAACGGTAGTGATCGTATAAACTTTAAAACCTTGGATATCTAAGAGTTCGTCTACTAGTATTGTTAATTCTTACACACCACTTTCAAAATAACCTGTCCTCTTGAATCATGATTCATTGATTTGACGTTACGGAGAACTCTTATTATTTTAAATGGAAAGTAAAATGATTTTCAGACATAGATTAATAGTTGACAACTAATGAAATTATGATTCTTCAATGGTGTGTAACTGTTCACACTTATTACGAATTTTTAATCAATCATATCTTTTTTAGCATTTACGATTGTATTACTAGGAAACTTAATCAAACAAATAAACACTGAAAACTATGAAGGACTGAAAAAGCTGTTTCACTGTTTCGTGGAACCATAGTTGAACATAACTTAGAATTCAGGACTTTCGGGTTCGGAGATGAAAACGATCAGTTCAGGCTAGTAGTTTGAATATCCCGAAAGTCGGTTGGTGTAAGAGCTTCTTGTGACCGCAGTCTAATATATTGTTTTCCGAAAATACAACACTTAATGATTTTTCAAACTTAAAGACGACCGTAAATTATTATGAGAATAATAACAAACCTTGAACCGAATAACATATGGCAGAGAAGCTGATAAGTTCTCGTCGATTTCCCTTTGAGATAAATTACGGCAACGATTATCATAACGCTGAGGTTCCCTACGACGACTTTGTTCCTTACGTAAGATAGCTAGCCGTTCTGAAGAGCAGAAGCATCGATAAGCGAATCCTTCATCAATTAACTTTTGAGCAATAGATGAATACAGGGGTCTTCTTTCCGACTAAAAGACCAACAGATACAAGAAAATGATGCGGAAATAGTACTTTTCATGTCCATACAACAAGCTTTTGATGCTAAAGATATGCATACAGTGGAAATAGTTATCAAATAAACATAAACCTAGATGAATATTGCAGATGATTATTAAATTTAATCCATAACAAAGTTGATACAATACCAAACTTATGTGAATGATAATAAAGAGCTGAAAATAAGGTATCGTAAGCCGAATTCTAGGAGATATACTATCCAGTCAGTCAGACACAACGTAGGACAATGACTATCTAATGAAAGTATATGAAGAGTGATGACAAAGGATTGTTACGATCAAATAAAGAGATTTATAAACCTAACCTTTACAATTTATAATTATTCCCGTAAATAGATAGCGTTAACGGGGTGTATATTGAATTAAAACATGTTCCGTGAAGGACTACATTCAAGCATTCCGATTGGCTATTTCTAGGTCAATAGATGCAAGCGAATAATTGGAGAGAACTCTAGAATCTTCTCGCAAAAAAATTATTTTTACTGTGACTCATACTCCCCTTTCACCTTGTTTATTTAGAATATAATTACGTTTTGCCCCCAAATGCCCTGGTACGGCCGAGAGTTGGGAGAGTCCGCTCTCCCTCTCGAAATGCTCTCACATGGCCATGCGTATATAGCCTCTGCAAGGGAAGTCCTACTCACTGCCTTCTCGTGGCGGGGGTGTTGTTTACAAAAATGAGAGGACGAAAAGCGAATGTCCGGCGCTTTAACCGGATCCCAAACCAATGGTGCACATGGGCTGGCTCCAGTATCCTAAAGGAACAAATGGCGTATGAACCAATCGTTGGTCACCGGCTACCATGGGACTGCATGTCCTCACGATGCTCCACTGCCTTGTGGGTCAGACGTTCAGGTCAAAGGCTCAGGGTGTGGCCCCCTAAGAAAACCACATGCTTCGGTTTGGGCACCCGTGCAGTATCACAGCCCTCACACAAATCAATTGAGATTTGTGTGGCGCATATGTATTTGGTGCCTCCCTGTACCTATACTTATGTGTTAAAATAAATAAATAAATAATTACGTTCCTGTCCAACGATGTTCTGATTTTGCGACTAGTCGAGTGACGTACTGTCCGGAGAATACGAAGTAATAAGAGTAGCTGGGTCGTAATAAGAGAGATCATAATATAAAGATATATACAATTGATACACTTTATTTTCACTAAACCTTATCAAATTAATAAGTGTTTAAATGTGTACACCCGGTATGTAAACGGATAACTTCAATCATTCACTGAAAAGACTCAAGTAGTTATTCAATCCAAATTCAGGTATAATGATTATAAGATCTATGAGCACATAGTAAACAACTATCACAGTAAAGTGTGTTTCCCGACGAATAAAGAGAAACTACATTGATTTACAGATGATTAATGAATGAATACAACTGAGCAATTGTGACGGATTTAGCGCCATGTCAATGATCACGGGTATTGTGTGGACCACAGCCAGTAAGTTAGCATCAACCGACATAATTTATATCAACAGTCAACGACTGCACGAACTTATGTTACATTTTGATCTACCAGCTCTTAACCCAGAAAGGAGAAAACTACAGCCACTGGAACAAATAAAATATTTTTGCTACCATTTACTAAAACTATGTAACTATATTCATAAATATTCCATGTACATGATGCTATTTAAAAAAATATTGGTACTGCTTCATTAGAAAGTTTGAGCACTGAATGCCACTTTTACTAGGAGTCGGAAAAATCAATTATTCTGAGCCGTAATGAAAGCAACAACAGAAGTATATGACATAATAAGATAAAGATATTTTATCAGTAATAACAATTAAAATTACCTACGCTCTAAGTGACTACATAAAAATCAATGAAGTAAAAAAAACAAGTGAAAAAGCTAATATTCAGACAAGCAATTTGTTTCTGTTGCTATTGTTACATGCTTCAGGAGTCTTGAGAACTAACCAATGACATAATTAGTGCACAAAATATTAAAATTGTTTCAACACGACTGAGAAAGTAAAATATGATCCGATTGATCCAGGTGGTTATGTACTATTATTACCTGACGTGTAAAGTGGTCGAAATACACATATGTACCGTACCTGTTGAGTAACAACAAAAGAATGAACTTCAGACTAATTAAACTTCTCCAAATAGTGACCATTTATGATAAGGACGTTTTACAAAGTTCTAACGAACATACTTGAATGTACGAACCATAATTTCCACCAGTGGTTGGACTTTCGTCAGGAGTTAGTCCAGACCAGTGAAGCGACTCAATAATATCATCCTTAGCATATGGTTGAACTCTGGACTACTGAATAAGCATGTAGGAATAATTACTTTACCTTATCCGTATCTTCAATACGTAGTATGAATTTCCCTGAATGTTTCACAGCAAACAACTTGTTAAATAAGGCAGTACGTAAACCGCCTAAATGCATAAAACCTGTAGGACTTGGAGCGAAACGTACACGAATGGGACTGTTCTCTGTTAATTTACACTTTTGACAAAATATGATGCATTTATGACGTAGGAAGTAATTGCTATGCGATGATCGTATTCGTGACGATGTTAAAGCCATAACTCCTAACATACGTAAAAATGAAAGTAGGACGTTATTAAGTATATAGCAACTCGATCGTATATTTTTAAATATATTTACTTTATATATATATATATATATATATATATATATATATATATATATATATCGCCTTTGACTAGCATTCGTTAACAAACATGTAACTGCAATTTCAACGACGGAGCACTGCCGTTTTGTATCCTACAAGGACAAGAAACTTATACGGGAATAAATAAGATGAGTAATACAAGTCCAACGGTTTATGTCTTGGCGGTTCGAGCACTCCACTTCTAGTCACTAGAGTGGAGATCTAAAGCCTCCTTCATGTACATTTGATCTAAATAGCATGGTAGTATCAATCCAATGGAGCAAAATAACGAACGTAACAGTTTATATCACAGGGTTACTGTCAATCCAAAATAGGTCTACCTGTACTTGATTGCTTTTGTCACGGTCAGTCGGACATAAGAAACGCAGAGCTTGGCACATATGTACAGTGGTTCAAGTACTTAAAACCCATCGGCACGACGAGATGAAACTATCAAAATGGATATTAAAGTGGTAGTAGCAGTACAAATAATTGCAAAACATTCGGGGTGAGACTATAACTTATGGATGATTTTTAAGTGATGCTAGGGGCCTTGAGGGTGTCCGCGTGCCTACTAGGACTAAGTGATGGTTACAAATTAGTGTGAGGAATTAGGATTTACAGCTGGACGTTAACTTTAGGAATTAGGGTTTTCACTAAGACCCGATATCAGCTATAATAAAACGCTATATAGCCAGATGGATAAATGAATTTCGTGCCGAAATTCAAAGCCTATTAACTTAAATTTGATTGGTTTGTCCATAAATTGTAGTCTCTCCATCTAATTCAGGAGAAAGGTAGTGATACAGTATCCGTTATGTATGAATATCGATTGAATGTTTGTAAGATATGTTTAAGACACTTGTAACAATAAAAAGAAATAATTTTTTTCAAGAAATGATGTGCTAGACATGTTTTCTTTGACAATATTTCTGGAAGTATTGTGTCTCTAATTTTCTAACACCCAAACAAACTCAAGATCTCATAATAAAAACCATTTAATGGTTATAATCGCAGCGCCCTGAGGCCGAAACAGGGATTGGTGACTACGGAAGAGTTGTTTTAACAAACCGATATAAGATGATGTTTAGCATTCTGGTTTTAAACTGTTCTGTCTAATCACGATGAATTAAGATTGCATCCTTCAGTACTGATACACAGAGAAAATAACCGGTATTCAGCCGACTGAAGTAACCTGTAACCTATTAGACTTATACGGTCGACAGAATATAAAGTAATCTCGATAAACCTGTTGACAGACATCATCCAAGTGCACATTTAAAAAGCCTACATTAGGAAAACTGATGCGGCAGTACATATGTCTAAGCAATTGCGAATTAAAGACGTGGATCTTGTTTGAACTTGAAAATATTCTCAGTCTAATTTCTAGTTTAATAGATGTCCATAGAGCAACAAGCAATTCGATATATTACCGGCATTTTTATTGAACGAATAAGTATCCCTGATTGCAAATTACAAGTATTAAAAAAATATTGAAAGAAAATGTTATGTAGCCAGGTAGTATTACTCATGAGCTTTAGAACCCATTTGAGAGATTTCGAAAGACCTTTTAGATTTAAAATGATAAGCAACTAGAAAACTTCGATTAGAGAAAAACGTCTACTAACTGACTAGTTTACTAGCCTTGATGTTATCAAGGTAATTGTGGATAAGCGAACGCATCAATAGCATGTAAACGCACATGCGTTGAGTCTACATATGTTTTTCGAAAAATATTGCATGGTTATGAAACTATTTACAACGAAAAATTTATACAATTACAACTGACAGACAATTTTTACATTAACAAAATATTGGCCCAATCTCCATATTTAATGGGAAACATTTGGGCTTTCGGGTAAATTCTTGGGTTTTCCCAAGAGCCGTAAGAAATTTAGTAGTCTTTTCCAATGTCTGGAGAAATTTTGAGGAGAAAATCCAGTGTTAGAATAATCTGGGGTAAACCCAGAATCTCCTCAAAACTTTGGGGATTTTCCAGACCTGGGGATATTCCAGGTTTTCTTGTGCAAAGTCCCCAAAATTGCTATAGCGGTTTCCCAAAATTTTTTCCAAATCGGACAAAATTTTTCCCAATATAAGGAGATTGAGAATTTACACAAATTATTGTGTTTCTCTTCAGAAAATGGAATCCAGATGATATCACGCCAAAGCCTGATTGACTTTTCCACATACTTGACTTTTACAAACAATCGTAGTGTTGATGGGCTTGAGGGGCAACGCTTCAGGGGTATCCTCTATTGATGGAGGTTGCGAGCACTTGAAGGTCACATCGACATGTGCTTCGAAATGTGAACAGCTGTCAAGGTCACCATCGTATCAAATGGTTCAAATGGTTGTGGACGGAATAGAAGAAGCTTTCGCTTAACAGGCTTTCGTGTCTAGCAGCAGAGGATCACCAATACTTCCAGGCAAGAACCTAGGTATGTTGACGATAAAAGAGAAAAAAAATAAGTTGATAAATCATAGTAAGATACTATCCTTAGTCCTTAAGAATAGATCAAGTCGCCTCTTAAAGGACTCCTGGGAAGTTGCTTGGACTAGCTCAGCTGTCAGCGAATTCCAGCATTTGACAACTCTTAAGGAGTAGAAATTGTGTCTGCAGTCCGTTCTACTATGTTGTATCTCTAATTTCTGGGTGTTACCCCTTAGGTTAGTGTTGGGACTAAGCTTAAGTAGGTGTTAAAGAGGATGTCCAGGTGTGTTAAGAATACTGTAAGTTATTAGAAGGTCACCTCTAAGACGCCTATACTCTAATGGGTAAAGGTCGAGTGATTGGAGGTTTAAATTTGAGTCCCAAAATTGATTTCGTGGCTCGCCGTTGGATACGCTCCAGAGTGTCATTATCCTTTTGGTGTAGGAGGAAATACTATGTTTCCGTACTGTAAACGGGAACGAATGAAACTATTGAAAATTATGTGGAAAGTTCTCTCGTCAAACTGACTAAAAATGCGCTTCAATGTTACCAGTGCCAGGTTTGCTCAAAAGGCATTTCTGTCACAGTTGGCGTAAGACTTTAAGTCGTAGGGCACCAGAACTCCTGAATCTTTTTCGACTCGGGATACTACTAGAGAGGAGTTTCCTAAGTTGTAACTGTAATCTGCGACGTGTCGCAGATGGACTACTTCATGAACTGTTTCATCAAAATGTTCAAGGCTTCAGTAAACAATAGAAAGAGTAAGGAGTGAACCAGTATGAATACAATTAACAAGAACTTATTTTGTTTTAGTTTCTGTTATAATTCAATTTTTTTATGATTTTGCATAATTTGTAAATCTACCGTTATTGGCTGTAGAATTGCTGTTTAAAATTTTCGACTTTGACCTTCTATGCTGAATTTGTTCCCTCATGGATTTTCGCGAGTAGACACACTGCCACGCGCACGCCTCTCGTTCCCGAAACATCTCATAGAAAGATTCGAATGCTCGGCGACGTGACCATAACGCACGGTGACCTTTGACAACTGCTGCGCTGCAATGAGCAGTTGTTTTTGATAATTCTTGCTAATTAAACGCTATATTCGGTTTCTTAGCTATTCTTGTATTCTCCAAACTGGAACTAAACAGCGACCTGAACACGAGAGAAAAGGCGCAAATTATGCGAGGAGCACTTTACTCCAAAGGTTCATTCTAATACAGAAGATATAGGGTTTTCATGATATTTTAAATGTCCGTGGGTTGCTCGAAGATTCTGGACTGCTACTAAACATAACCGCAGTATAGTAATCAGCCAATCAGAACCTCTGCATGTGGCGTTTCACTTTCTTGATGTTTCTGGCTAAAACTTCAAGTGAACGCTTCTTGGATGAAATGCTTCTTAGTGTTTTCTGATCCCTTCTTGTCTTTTGCGAGAATTTTTCCGGATCACCCCAACAGTTTTCAAGCCATGACCAATTATTACTCCTAACTCTTTATGTTTCTGAACGCATGGAAGAGATGACCATCAATAGTATAATGGCAACTATCACTGTGTACAATGTGCATGAACACACTTTTTCTGGAATCAACTTCATGATATGTACCCCTGAAACATCTTCAGGCAGTACACTTCTGATGGCAGACTCCACTAACTCCTGATCGTGTGCACACCTTTAAGAAGGGTTATTGTCTTGTTACTTTTCTAGATTCCGAATGATCAAACTAGGAACGGGTTTAGCTTCTTTAAAAGTTGAGTTCACAGCTTTCGATCGTGATGTCAGATATTGCGTCTTAACTACTGGGAACTTACCATTAATTTTTCCTGTAACGGAGTCGTGCAGTCGAGTGAATGACTCACGACAAGCTTTGATAAGGCCATACTTTTCCATCCACGACAGGATTAAATAGTTTTACTTCTGGTCTTTGGCGGAGAAGTCCGTAACACAGAATACGAGTCCACCAAGGACTTTACAACCAAACAGGCATTATTTTGGCTATCTTTCCTTCTTTTTTATGTCTTCACGTCATCGAGTTCCGTCAGTTGCAGCATCCACATTGGAACTAGTCGGGACAAATATGGTTTTGTCTGGGTCATCAATCGCTGCTGTAGCATCTTGGCTACCTGTATCTAATAACGTGTCGCTTATTAATTGTCTCAGGATGGTAATCTCTACTGCGCGTTGCACGATCAGGTGTCTGGTACGTGCCGTAACAGCACTTGCGACATTGACGTATTCTTCGCTATCAGTACCGCTTCAGCTGTCATCAACCTTTTTGTTAGTCAACGCCGGAAGGCTAATTGCCTCTCGGATGAATAACGTTTTGCTTGGACAATAAAACATGAAATGTCAATGGGCTATGAGCACCTTTCATAGATAGTGGGATTTAAACGGGTACATAACTTATGGAACCACTTCTTACACTCATCACATCGAATTCCTTATTCTACAGGTAGTAAGCAAAATGGCTGTCCACAT